CCTCTTGCACCTCGTGCAGGCCTTGCACCGGAAGGGCAAGGCCCTCTACGAGCTTCAGCGCTACCAGGATGCTGTTGGGCGGCCCAACAGCGTGTACAATGTATAACCAAGTCTTGAAAACATCAATCCCAGCTGCAAATTGAGAAGATCTGTGATGTCTGTGTCCAGCAGCCTTAAAGAGCATGCTGCGCTCCATGTTCGCTTGTGGACTTAGTCTCTGAACGCTTCTTTGACACTTCGATCAGCACTCCGTTCACTGGTCTCCTTCTCGTACTGGTCTCCTTCACACGCTCCCATCGCAAGGTGAAGTCCTTCCAGGAGGCATTGCAACTGTCACCCGGAAACTCCCAAATCAACGGCGATCTCATGGCGCCTCGGGCGTTGAGCGGGGGTTCACCAGAGGCGAGTGGAACGATAGAGGTGAGTGGATCGAATGAAAGATTTGGCTGCCCGAATTTCAGTATTGACTTGTGCTTGGGCCCATAGTTTGGTTTGATTCCTGCTACTTTTGCAATGCCGGCACATGAGTCACTATAAGGTTGCCCGCCGCAAGTTGCGGGATGACGTGGAAGGCCCGTCAGGAGCTCAAAGCTGGAGAGAATTCAATCGTTCGATAAAACAAGGATAGTCAAGATTTCTCGGAAGCCACGTGCAGATGTTCATATTCTACAAACAAAGTACGTACCTCTGGAAGAGGTGGTACATACGGCCAGTGCGTTCAGCAGATCGTAGTACTCTAGAGAAGAGAGCCTGCTATTAGTTCTTAAGATGTATATATATATATATCCGATGTCTCCATGTTGTTGGCCGTTGCTCCCAAGTACCTCAGACTCAAATGCAGGCAATTTGACTTCTGACTCCTTTGGGTTTTAAAATATATGAGGCCTTGGTCTTTTGTATGGTTCTGTTTGTTGTCTTCACAAGTTCCTTGTACCGTCAGAAGTCCGCCCTCGAAATCTCAAGTTTTGACGTGCACGACGCACGACCACCCCGCATTGATTCCATGCGTGTGAAGATGTGACGGTCAAGCGAGCCAACTAAAAATAATAGCTTCTTGTTACTACTAGTAAGGCACTTGTTACTACTAGCGTGGCACTTGTTACTAGTATATAGCTTCTTGTTACTATCCGTTGAGTGCTACCACAATTCTGCTTGCCGGTCAATCAAGCACGCAAACTTGTGATTGAAGAGCAACCCAGGCGAATGCAGAGAACTGACAGATGTCAAGGTTGAATAGAGAATGGAATTTAGAGAGTTTTACAAGGATTCAAGATGCCAATGAACTGGATTCAAGTGATCCATTTGACAGCCAACTGCTGTTTGTACATCCAGCTTGCGCCGAAGACTACAAAAACAACATGTTGCACATCCGAGGTCAAATCACCAGGCGAAAGGTGGGCCTTGTCGTTTCGGAAAGGGACAACCTGGAGGGTAATGGGACCCGATGGGGAAAGAAGACGAAAGACTCGCCCTGGCCGGCGCAAGACCTCAGATACAAGAAAGGAAGTATCATAAAGCGACCGTCATACAAAAGTTGTTCATTCCTGTGTTTTTTTCTTTGCTTCAACCTCCACTTATTTCATAGTCCTCTACTAGGTCCTAGCGTTAAGTCGACTCAGCTTGTGTTAAGTCGACTCGAAACCGTGTGCCCTTGCAGAGCTGCACTCCACAGGGATGTCTAAGCATAGATTGTATTGATCTATAACACATGTTTTGTGTTGTGCCCATGGTGTGCCTGGTTGTCACTTGTTTGTATTTATGAATCTGTTCTTCTGGTTGGCTGCTGCTGCTCCTGCCGCTTCTGTGTTGGCTGACCGTACGAAGCTGTAGAACTTCTGATTAAAAAACATTCCTTCACTATCCTTTAAATAGAGATTCCAACACCTGGAAACCGAAGGCACGCAGCATCGATTGCCCTCGTCGGCTGCGTCAAGTTGCAGGTCCCAAGCCATTGGCCGATGCGCCCAGCACGGTCCGAGGGCCCAGATCATCTGAATGCCTTGAGCATCCCTAGTAAGGCCGGGAGCCCCTAGTAGCTTCTTGTTCCTAGTAGCATCCCCAAAAATAGCATTGAAATGATCCAACAGAACGGGTTTGAACAATCCTGTCAACGTGACTCAGCGTGATGGGTTGAAACACCTGAAGCCCTGCAAATCATTTCCATGCATGAATTGAGATGTTCGATAAATGATAAATATTTGTTCAATGGACAATGAGTGGTTCCAGTATCCCCATGTCCAAATAAAAGCCCAACTAACATGAATAAGAACAAGCCAAGAGCATAACTTGGAGACTCCGAAAGTGTGAGCACCTCCTACACAGAACAATGTCCTCCTCAAAGACATGAACGTGAAGTCGCAAGAGATGACCTGCTCTTTTTGAACCACGTCATCGTTGTTTTGAGTGGTGTGCGGACATTCCTTCACGGGTCACAGGATGGGTGTTCAGACCTTGACGTGGCAATGACGAAATCTGGTTTACGCACTGTTGAAGGGGAAGCCATTGCTATTAGGTTGATGTCATTGCATTACCTAGAGGATTTCATCCAGCAAGAAACTCCAACGGATCAAAACGGCCCATCCCTCCTCCCAGGCCTCCGTGCCTATCGAAGCTGGCTACACGTGCAGCCGGCACAGTTGATTCTTGTACTTGCATGTCCCTTCGAGGAATTCAGAAGAAAGAAGCAATCTTGAAAGTCCTCCACGATAGCAACCACAGAGCAACCGCCAACGAACCCAAAGTGGACTTCATGGTTCCACATATCCTTGGCCCTAAAGTAAGTAGAAGGAGGTAATTTGGTTTGTTTATGAAATGTGATGAGTCTACAGGATCAGTTTCACAATTGGTGGCTTCTTAATTCTAGAATACGTTGTCTTCCCTAGTGACTTGAATGGCATGTGATGCGGTGACAAATGCTTGAGCAAAATCCAAGTAGCAGCCTACAATGAGGATTTTAACATTTTAGAAGGGTATGAATGTGTGGGGCTTTCCTCGACATGAAGCTTCTGACTCATGTTGTTACAACCTCATGCCAGGCGTGTTCAGATTGAAGAAGACAGCGATAGCGAGGAGCTTCGAGCCGCAGCTGCAAGCTACCTAGCACGCTGGACGATTTGGCATTCAGGCCGCCACTAACCGTTGCTTTGCATCAACCATTCACTTGCCAGGAGGAGCCTGATGCAAAGCCTAGTCTGGCAGCCAGATGTTGACGTGTTCAGCTTCCTTGAAGCAAACATAAACCCACATACTATCAGATTGAGAGTATGTCCAAATATCCTTGAGCGGGTTGCCAAGCGTCTTCCCGCTTGCGATGGTGGACGCCTTTTCGGGGACGCTGAGATGGGACCATGGGACACAATGTTGAAGTTTGAAGAACAGTTTGAAGAACAGTTCAATGCTCTTTTTTTCCACGACCAAAATAAACGGATATAAACGGGAATTCGAGTTTGACTTTGACTGCGGCTGAGGTGGCAAAGGCTTCATGAAGATCGCCATTGAGGAGGCCCTTAGACCCTACTGCGGTCGGGCAACTGCAGCGTTCAGGGTCGCAGCTGCGTTTACGCTCCCCAGAAAACTCTAAAAGGATCATGAAAAACATAATGCAAATACTTAACAGGAAACAGCACAGAATTAAAGAAACAAACACATGAAACTCTGAAAGAAAAAAAGCGGAGAACATGGTCTTAAAATAATTCAACAGTATATGATAATTATAATGGCCTTTTAAAAAAAAAAGGAAAACCAGGGAAGCCATGAACGCGTTTCTTTCGTTGTTGCGATTCCGCAAGACTGTGTTTTGTGCGGAAATGCTTGAGGGGTCCTCACTGCATCTATCTTAAAGGTCAGTGGAAGCGAGGATGAAGCTCCCGCAGGCCGGGTCCACAGGGCGGGCGCAGAGGCAGACAGGGAAGACCACCATTGGTCCAGTTCGCTAGATGATGGTCTCTTTCCAGGTTGAACGGTTCAGAGGCAAGTGTGCAGACACAGGAGCACTGAGCACTGCATTTGCGAGCTGACAGCAGCACCACCTGTTCAACGGCTGAACCATCTCACGTCAACCAACAAGTTTGAGATCGACAACTGAGAACAAGTGAACCAATCGCCAAAGCTCGTCAGGTCCGAAGAAAGAGGAGTTCAATCCCCCACCGCGGGTGGCTGAAGCTCCTCAGGTCGGAGAAGTGGGATGTAGGAAAGCACGAAAGGGACTCACTGGGGTTAGAGATGGAGTCTTAAGATCCGGTGAAAGGTGGGCGCACTCAAATCACACCGAATCACCAGAATCAAGAGAACAATGAGAAATGAGAAGAGCAGAAACATATGTTCGAAACAGAGTCGATAATAGTTGTGCCTCACAGAAACGATTAAAAACTCACGGCTTGAGTGGGCAAAAGTGCCAAGGTCAAGGCTGGTGGCTTTGATGACATGGACTGAGCCAAAGTGGGATCGACGGGGATCCGCAAGCAGCTCGCATGGTCTGTTGGTCGGCTGATTGCGAGATGCAGAAGTGCGGAGGTTCTTCGACTACGACTGTCGTAACCTTGCTCTTATCAGTCAGACATAGCCAGACTTCACCCACTGTCAGTTCTTGATGTCGACCACACCAACTTGCATCCAACTACCAATTAGAAACCTACAGGTTCGATCGCCACGCAATTTCGACCTGCCAACATGGGGAGTTCTGAAAACGGGTCATTTTTTGCGATGTTGGATTGGTGAAACATGTCACGACGCAAGCGTAGGGTACGATAGACCTCCAGCTGCGTATGTCACTCCCGTCTCAGACTGCATGGGTATCACCTGGCGATTCACCGGCCAGAGACGACTTGCTGAGAGAAAGCCGTGCCCAGCAAAGGGAATGTTGTCAGTGGCTTCAGGTCCACAGTGGCTGAGCCTCGTTTTTGGGCACGGCATTTACCCCACTTTCTGCCGATGCTCAAGGCCTTTGCAGTGCGATGCTTCACTCGCCGAATCAAGTGCGAGTAAATCGACTTGACATGTTCAGCTTTAGGCTCACAGACCTCCAGCCACGGACCGCAAAATCCAACCGGCGCGAGAGCCATGGGGCGCTGGGTTTGGATCTGTGACTCTGCAGTAAGTTTGCTGAACGAGTCGCTATGGAGTTGCGGATTTGAGAGGACATTTCTCAAATCACTCTTAGGGAATTGAGGATCAAAACATGTTTTTTGAGGCAGCCCAACCAGATCCTCCAAGCGTTTTACTTTGACTTGCTACATGATGGTGTGATTCGCTCAAGACATGGACTGATCATACCATCAGAATCCATTGCATGTTTTGCATGTAGAAATTCAATCCAAGTGACCACGTCTCATCCCAACTCCCACCCCGCTCCAGAGGCTTTGTCTTCCAGGCGTGCGTCGCCAAATATGCACAGATCCAGCAGGCGTGGGTAGACCAACGTGGAAGATGACCCTACTCTTGTACCGTCAAGATTCAAGATCCATTTGCGGCATGAGAACAAGGAAGAAACCGACTATGTTTCCCGGACCATCTGAGTTGCCCTCACGAGATCGTAAACATTGGTGAACGCATGCACAGGTCTCCGTGGCCAAGTTCGCTCGTGGCAGCACGGAGGAGAAAGCAGAGCAAGTGCAAAAGCTCAGGACGCACGTCCCACGGTTCGTGGTCCGCATCAGGGTCCGAGGGATTTTCACTTTGGGGAACCGACGAAACCGAAACGAGCGAGCCACTTTTGTATGACTTTGTGGAATTCTGTTGCACACAGAAGGCAGTGTGTCACCGTGGACTCACGCAGAATGTGAGAAATCCGTCCCAAGATTTTCTCTTGGACCACTTTAGCTTGGCGATGCCTTGGCACGGCTATGAAGCCCGGGTGATCCAATATGCTGCGATGCAGCGGTGTACTGTTCTCATTGCACTGTGCTGTAGAAAGGCCAAAGAAATGGTTGGCATCGCTACTAGGAGCAAGGACGCTACTAGGGGCTCCTGCCCTTACTACTAGGAACAAGAAGCTACTAGGAACAAGTGCCACGCTACTAGTAACAAGTGCCTTACTAGTAGTAACAAGAAGCTACTATATGTTCTCATTGGTTCTATGTCTCGTGCTATGTATACTCCGCAATGCCGCGAGGACTGCCTTTGAGACCAAAGGGATGGACAGGGCGCCCAGTTGGGAATCTGTTCAGCGTTAGTAGCTTCTTGTTACTACTAGCGTGGCACTTGTTACTAGGATAGGGATGGGGAGCTCAGGTAGCAGTTTCAGGCGAGATTGTGGTCAAGAGTTCATTGGTATTTAAGTTCATGGTGTGTTTGATTGCGTGTGGTTGGGTTCTTTTTGATTGTATTTGCCCTCGCAGCCTTGCTGGGATCTTGTGAAAACCACAAGGTGTTTAACTCTACAGATTCACATGTCGTAAAGTGTTTGATGTGGTCGGACTTCGTCAAACGCAGTTCTCATACATGTTCTCATCCATGTTCTCATGTTTTGGCATTTGGTCGCCAGTTTTGCTCGCCTTCCGAGGTTGTTCTGGTCGACGTTGGCTTTCCTGAGGCGCCGACGGATCCAACGATCTTCCGGACCTTCCGATGAAAGGGTTTCTGAAGATTGTTTAGAAGCTGTCAGGAGTATCGAAAGTCTTAAGGCTTTGTCAATGTTTTCATAGCGTATGCAACTTTTGCGATGGCTTCCAAGCTCCTTACTTATTTTGGCTGGGCCCGTTTTTACTGTGATCATTGGGTGACAGGGCTTGATCGAGAAGACCATGTCCAAGAGTCGTGAGTTCTTCGAACTGCCATTGCATCTAAAGGAGCGCGAAGTGAACGTTGAGCAGGGAGGGTGATGTAATTAGAGTGGAGGTTTGTCGGAACAGCAAATAGTGGTGGAATATTGGGGATGAGTGATCGATTCCACGGTGAAGTGCGGGAATTCATTCAACACAGGCCTGATGACTGTGCTTGCTGGTCTTTTCTTTGTATGTGTGTGTGTAACCCTTGGAATCAGAGGGAACCTTAAGGTTTGGAACAGGGGGCGTGACGGTCGATTTCCTAGTCACGCCAATGAAGCTATGGAAATCGACTGGATGGAAGTTTGGACGCAAACTTCCGTACCTGTTCCCTATTTAGGAAAACAGGAGGAAATGGTACTCGACACACTTGTGTGTCGGTGCCTTTCCTTCTGGTTTCCTCTAAGGCTACCCTATAGGTTGCAGGTAGGCCTCCAAACTTTGTAGGGGGTTTTTAACCTGAACTCTGGCCTCCACCCACTAGAATGGACCCCCAACTTTTGCTGTTTTGCTGTCTTGTTTGTCTTGTGTTTCTTGTTACCTACTAGCGAGGGCCCCCAACCTGCCTTCGACGGCCTTGAACCTAAGAGCGAAGACCTCCAACTTTGACCGCTTTGCTGTCTTGTGGTTTCGAGTTTCCAACCTACTAGCGATGGCCCCTCAACCTGCCTTCGACGGCCTCCAACCTAAGAGCGAAGACCTCCAACTTTGACCGCTTTGCTGTCTTGTGG